TCTAAAAAATAACACTAATGTTTAGTAACACTAATATTTCTTGAATAATTAGTTTGACCATTGTTTGACCACAGTTTGGCCATAGTTTGACCAGATATGACCAAAATTCAAAAAAACTGAAATAATTATTTAGTAACACTAGTATTCTTCAATAATTATTTAGTAACACTAATACTTCTTGAATAAGTAGTTTGAATTTTTTTGAATTTAACAAAAATTAAAAAAAAAACTGAATATTTTTGAATTTTTTTGCCTCTAGATCTTAAAAGGCCCGTAACTTTTTTTCTGTTAGGTTTTTGAGGATTTTGAAAATGTTTAACGGGGTTCCCCCGTTTAAATTTGGATGTAACTTTTCGAGTAGATGATTTTTCATATAAAAAACTTTTTAATCCGAGTTCGTATGCAAAAGTTATGCCCATTTTACTAAATTCTAGAGAGATTTTGCAAATAAAGTCGAAATTCATATTTGTAAATTTTCCCAACAACTAGACCACATATCACATGCGAAACTTATTTTCTTTTATTTTTTTGACATTTTCATCATTTTCTTTTATTTTTTTAAACTGAAAAGGCGATCGGGGGGGTAGAGTTTGAAAATGGGACCTTTAGTACCGGTCCGTGCCATGAACTGGTACTACTGCCTCAAACCCCATTAGTACCAGTTGGTGGCTCAAACTGGGACTAAAGGTCTAACCTTTAGTCCCGGTTGGTGCCACGAACCGGTACTAATGGGCATCGCACCCTTTAGTCCCGGTTCGTGGCACCAACCGGGACTGAAAGGTCCAGACGAACCGGGACAAATGGCCCACATGGCCCGGCCGGGCCCCTGGGCTCACGAACCGGGACTAATGGCTGACCTGGCCTGGACCATTGCCCCCTTTTCTACTAGTGGTTTAGGCCCAGACCATCAGCGCCCCTTCATCAGTTAGATAGGAGTAGCGACAGAGGTTGCGAAGATGGTGGCTTTGGTCTTTCTATTGTACGACTTTGTAAGGTCTTGTATTAATAATTAATAAATTGGTCGTATGCATCGTCCAGATGCAGAGGTCGGGGGTATTCCTCCTTTTCTAAAAAAATAAAAAAAAAGTAGCCGGTAAAATTTGGGGGCCCGTGCTAAAGTTTAAAAAGGGGCCTTCCTCTTAAAAAATGGAATTATAATAATCTGTAGGCAAAAACAAAAGATTGAGTTAGATCTTAGATTCTTTGTTGTTTTTATGCTTTTGGAAATCAGAAATATTTTCAAGACTGATTTATATCTTGAAATACTAAATGACGTCTAAACCAGTTGATGCATATACAAAAGATAAACAAAACAAAAATGAACAAATACATATCAAATAGAAGTAGAAATAGCTAGACATACCAACAAGCAATTTGCAGCTCAGAGGAATAAACCAGTGCAAGGTACGGAGTTAGAGCGACTGTAGAGAAACTGACACTGTACACATACTGCATACACGATCGCTAACCTGCCCAGTCCATGGAGAAGGGGCCCTAGCGGCGGGGTCGTTGGAGCTAGGGGACGGCGCAGGCACGGAGAGCTATGGGCGGCATTGCGGCACCATGGTTCGGCAACAGGGAGTAATCTTCACAGAGAGAGACAGACCATGCCACCGGCATAACCAAGGATCCCTGACCTTAGTTGACACTTCCTGCGGCGGTGGGAGGAGTGGCAACCACCGGATGGTGTTCCCCGTGCATCCAATAGTCTAGGTTTGCCTAAATAGCTAGGCTCTTATTTGGTGGTCCATGTCTTTGGCTCAGTAAGTTACGATGACGGCGGCGTATAAGATTTCTTCGCATCTCCATCCGATGTGTGTTAGAATTAACCTTGTTGTAGAGTTCTAGTCTCATGTTTATTTGTGTTTGCATGATTTTAGTTCTACTAGTCGATTTAGTTCCAGCTAGTTGTATGCATGTAAACATGGCAGAGTGACCAGATCAGCAGAGAAGACAACACGCAGTGATAGAGAAAGTGCAGTGTAGCGGGCGGACTGGCGGCCATTAGTTGAGTACATGCATTCACGCATTGCCGGCACTAATCATGTGTTTAGTGATCAGGGTATTAGTGCAAGTAGTGAAGAGGTGGCCTACGTACGTAAGTAGTGGTGGTCAAGAAAGAGTTAGTTAGCGTCTAGCTACATGCAGGTAAAGAAAACGGCAGAGCCATGTGGCCGTCGCAGGAGGTTCGGCCTGTTAGGCACATCCCAATGCTTCACCTTGTATAGGTGCTAAGCTTTTTATGTAGGCAAAAAATCTATGTGGCAAGTTATTTAAGAGGAGAGAGATGAGTGTAGTGACTCAGAAAGAAACAATGCTAAGCGCGTGAATTTAGGCAAAACATTCAAAGGAAGGAAGCCCACAATACATCAAGAGTTTTAGTTGCTAAATCATTAAATAAATCAAGCTTAGCTACCATAAGCTAAGCACCTATGCATTGGGGGTATAGTTGCTAAACTATTTAATATGCTTAGCACCTCATCTAAACACACATGCATTGACAGCTGTTGTTGCCGTGACCTTGCCGAACCCTAGCTAGTCCTCTCTCTCGCTCTTCTGTTGTGCAACGGACCGAGGAGGAAGAAGGGATGGAAGGGGTGGACACAGGAGTTTTTCCCGGGCGCTCGAACGCCCGCCGCCGCACGTACGGCTTTGTATTCCACAAGCACAAACTCGTCCCCAGCACCAGTACGTGGCTTATATAGCCGGACTCACACCAGGCACAGCCGGAGGCACTAACTCCACGACTTGCATGCACACACACTAACCTGGCCGTCACATTCGGCTGCTAACCACGCACGCACTAACTACTCAGCTTAGCATGCGCTAACCACCAAGCCCCATGCATGCAACACCGCGTCTCCGCTCTCGCCAGCGCCCGATCCGCACGTCCTAGCCAGCTCGCACGACGCGCTCACACGTGGCTGCTATGGCTTGAACTCCCAACAGATCACCAACGGCTGCAACAAGACTCGGGTACACACACGCCACGCTCCCGATCCGTCCCGCGCGCACACACGCACGCCCGACGCGATCGCGGTGGCTTATACCCAACAGCAGCAGCCTTAGTTGCATGCATGGAGCTAGTGAAGAGTGAAAGAAGGATCAAGCCCGGTGTGTGGCTTGCGCGTGTGTGCATCTTTCCCTTTAAAAGCACTTGTAACCAGTTGCATCAGCTGAGAAGAAGATACAGAAAAATGGCACAAGTTGTGTGCGGTGCCAAGCCCTCTGTGTCTTCTTCTATCTTTGGGTGTGTGTGAGTCTTCTTCCTTTGTTGATGGTGTTGGATCTGGGAGGTTGGGAGGTTGGTAGCGTCTGTGTGCGCCCCGGATTTTTCTCAGATCTAGGCAGTCGTATTGTGCGCCTAGGCCATGACATCGAGGTGGTGGAATGCTTCTTCCCTACATACGGAGGTGGTAATCATCTTCATGATGTCCATCCCTTCTACTTGGCCTCTTCTCAGAGGCGAGCTGCCTATCTTTTGATTCATAGCTCGATGACTTTAGCTACCAATATATAGTCTTGCTAGCTCTGTAGGTGATGAGAATTTCTGGTCACGTCATTGAGCATGGATCACAACAATGGGTGTGCGTAGGAGGAAGGTGGAGTTGGCCCTAAAGACTAGGTTGCAGTTTGTATTCCGTTTGGAGTTGCCTTCTAAGGGTTGGTTTCTTTTTTAATAATATATATGGCCTTTGGCCTTTGAAATAGAGTGTATTTGTTTAACAAAAAGAGGATATACGCCAATCTCTGCATCATTGTCACTTAAAAAAATAGCGCGCTATAGCGTCGCTAATAGCACGCTATAGCGTATTGAGAATTGTCTCGCTAAATATATCCGTGTACAATGTTTCGCTAATAGCACGCTATAACACGATATAGCATGCTAATAGCATATATTAAGTTCGCCGCTATTTTGCTGTAGCGCGTTATTTTTTTCATTGATCATTGTGATGCACATAGCTATAGCAATTTTATTTTAAGAAAAAAACATATTGCACGTGCCGATTTACATATCGATGGCCGACGTGCATAAGGATGTTAATTTTTGTTGAAAAATTAAACACTACATACGTACAATGACATGAGAAGTCAAATGGACAAGGCACAAGTGTTCTCTTTGCACAAGAATTGAGAGATAGATCGGCCCAAATCATGAGCTTCAGTCATTGTTCTCTTCTTCCACTAGATGCACATTTACTAGTGCACGCAACAAGAGATTGCTACTCCCTTTGTCCCGAATTACTTGTCGTACAATTGTATAGAATTGGATGTATTTAGAACTAAACATACATCTAAATACATCCATTTTTGCCACAAGTAATTCGGGACGAAGGGAGTACTAGGGATGCAACAATTTGTTAGACGGAGATATATTTGAATGCAAGTGAACCGACGGCTATTTCTAACCCTTTACCTAACTGGGTTTACCAGGGTCACATATCATCTAATAAAATCTGGCACGCAGCAAGCCACCAACTAACCCACGTGTGAAAAGCCAAGGAGGTACTCCACCCGGTGCACTGCAAAGTCCTCAAAATAAGTGTCTCAATTTTGTACCAACTTTAGTATATAGTTGTACTAAGATTGAGATACTTATTTTGAGATGAAAAAAATAGTATATATCTGTATATTGTCGCCCCAAGCCAGCTTTATACAGCTACAGTTGTCGTCAAGCTTTCTAATGAATAGATTCCTTTGGTTGGTCTAGGTGTGAAGCACATGCCTGCCGCCCACGGCAATCGGACGACGCCCTCGTGCATGCATGCTACTGCTGCAGATCCAATCCAGGTCACGCCCACATGCTTCCTTCGTATAAAGCTTGGTGCCCGTGCTGCTAGTTGCTCATTTCTCTATTCTTTCTTGTGCTCTCCCCTCTCTCACCTCTGTCGGGACTCCCCTATAAGAAGCCGGGCATCCCATCCCTTTAGGCATCAACCAAGCTAGTCGCTGCTACATATTCAGTCTTTGCAAGCAATCCTCGCCAACCAGACACAAGCATGAGGCCCCAGGCGCTGCTCGCCGTCCTGGCCGTCGTCGCCGTCCTTGCAGCAGCTCTGCCCCTCGCCCACAGCCAAGGTGAGGCCGGGACTCCACTTCTTCTGCTCCTCGTCGAGTAAGTCTGTGTAGCAGTAGTCGTATTGACATTGGTTGGCTGCCTGCATCAATACGACGCTGTGCTGCGACAAGTGCGGCATCTGCACCAGGTCCTTCCCGCCGCAGTGCAGATGCATGGACATCTCGCCTACCGGGTGCAACCCGGCCTGCAAGACCTGCGCCAAGTCCACCGTCGGCGGCCGTGACAGCTTCCAGTGCAAGGATTTCATCACCAACTTCTGCAAGACCCGCTGCACTAAGGCCGCGTGATTGGACCTGTTGTCCCCCGAATAACCCCGATTAGCCTGTGTTTTTCCTTTATTTTTTGAAGCATTTAAGAGTTGCATCTTGATCTGGTAGATGCAGGGAAGAAATGAGAGTTCAATGCATGATCGTTGTTCCTTCTTGTGTCTTAAATAAAGAGCACATTCTTTGCTCAAAATCTTCTTTGTTAAACCATTTATGCTTTGCGACCGTTAAAACACATAAGCATGGAATGGAATGGAATATGAATTCAAATCCAAATCATCTACCATGTAGAGGCACGAATGGAGTGCATTCATGTACAAAGCACCAAAATGGAGAGATGTCAAATTTAAATCCAAGTAAAATAATTTATAATCAAATGCGTTAAAAAATGGTAATGTCAAACCCAGTCCAAATACTTTAGGTCCAGATCTATTAAAATCCAACGAATCACAAAAGCTTGATTTCCACACACAAAAAAATACACTAAAGTTTCACACTAAGAATGTCAACATCGTGTTGAAACTATAGTTTTCTTGAAATGAAGGGTGAGTTTTGTAGATGGTTTAGCTTGTTAGGAGTTACTATTTATTGCAGCTTACAAGTCTGTACGCGCAAGTGAAATCCCCCCAAACAGTAAATTTAAACCCACTATGGATGGTTAGGATAGATTTTAATATTTCATCTCATGTTTAGGTGATCTGCCGAGTGCATGCACTCAACAAAAGGGAAGGTTTTACCCATTTTAGCAGGTTTTTGTGTATTGACCTTCGTTGGTTGCCCGCAGCCGCGATGTTGTGCTCCGACAAGTGCGGCATCTGCAGCAGGTCCTTGCCGCCGCAGTGCAGATGCATGGACTGCAAGGATCTCGTCACAAACTTCTGCAAGTGCCGCTGCACTAAGGCCGCGCGATTGGACCTGTTGTGACCCGAATAATGCAGATTAGCTTGTGATTTTCTTTTCTTTTTCTGCAGTCATTCCAGTTCACTCTGCATCTTGATATGTATACATGCAGAGAAGAAATAAGAGTTTGATGTTCCGTTGGATTATGGATGGGCCTAGGGCCCATATATGAAACAATTCTTGAAAAATTTAAAAGGCATATGTGGGTGTCATGATATTGTGCTGCAGAAAAGGAGTAGCGCGCGCGCACACACACAGACCACACATGCACACACACTCCTCCGACGTGTGCCACAACTCGCTTGTGCGTCGTGTTTCTTGAACAAGCTCAACTCAGACCGATGTTATGTGTGCGTTTAACTTCTGCCCGTCAGAAACATATAATTTATTAACAATTTATCATGAGTCATTTATGGACGCACCACGTACCGGTACTAATGGGCATCGCACCCTTTAGTCCCGGTTCGTTGCACCAACCGGGACTAAAGGTCCCATTTGAACCGGAACTAATGCCTTTACCGCATGAACCGGGACCAATGCTCACATTAGTCCCGGTTCATGACTGAACCGGGACTAATGGACTTATCTGTCCCGAACGAAAGCCCTGTTTTCTTACTAGTGAGAGAGTGTTTGCTTTTGTTCTCTTATTTTGGTGGTTGAACTTTGTTTGATTGTTTGATATACTTTATGCTCGTGTGATACTTGGATGATCATGTGTTTAATCATATGCTACATTTAATGCTTGTTGGATGACATTATCCTTTTATCTCTATATGATCATTCACTTTGCTTGGTGATGAGTGCATGTATTTCAATTATTATCATTTTGAGCGCTCCACCAAGATGTATGTGACATGGGAGAGTAACTCATGATCCTAACTCATTGTGCATTTGCAGTCCAAAGCAAATCTTAAACCATGCACAAATTTGGGGGGAGCTCTCACATCTCACATACTTCTCAAAGCGACAATGTTTTTCAATCTTATTATCACTTGTCGAAGCTTTGATCTATAAGTTGTCATCAATTACCAAAAATGGGGGGATTGAAAGTGCAACTATCCCTAGGTGGTTTTGGTAATTCCTAACAACATATAGCTCATTGAGCTAACACTATTTCAAGATAAATATTTCAGGAAAAGCTTAATGAATGACATGGCATGGATGAGAAAAGTGGACCCCTCAAAATGCTAAGCATAAAAGGATTGGCTCAAGCTCAAAGCTCAAGACTCTACATTTTATATTTTAGTGATCCAAGATTACATTGAGTCTATAGAAAAAGCCAATACTATCAAGGACGGATGAGGTGTTGCTTAATGAGGTTCTTGCTTCAAAGTGCTCAGTGATATGCTCCAAAACCCTGAACTATTTTCTCACATCCACATATGACCTAAACCAAAAGTAAAACTCGGCCCCACCGATTCTTTCTATCCGGCGCCACCGAGTTCAGATGTCATAGCCACTGCCACAAGCCCTAGGCAAATCGATCTCACCGATAGGGGTTTGTAATCTCTCTGTTTCCCTTCGTAAAATTTCGGTACCACCGAGATTAGCGATCGGTCCCACCGAGATTGCAATGTAAACTGTCTGTTTCCCTTTCGTAACATTTCAGTCTCACCGAAATGAGTGAACCGGTCCCACCGAGTTTACGTGACCAACTCTCTGGTTAGCTTATTACCAAAATCGGTTTCACCGAGTTTGTGTAATTGGTCTCACCGAGATTACGTTATGCCCTAACCCTAACCATATCGGTCTTACCGAGTTGCATGTCTGTCGCACCGAAAATCCTAACGGTCACTATATTTGCTAAATCGGCCTGACCGAGTTTCTCAATTTGGTTCCACCGAGATTGGCAAGTTGTGTGTAACGGTTAGATTTTGTGTGGAGGCTATATATACCCCTCCACCTCCTCTTCATTCGTGGAAAGAGCCATCAGAACAAACCTACACTTCCAACTTATATTTTTTGAGAGAGAACCACCTACTCATGTGTTGAGACCAAGATATTCCATTCCTACCATATGAATTTTGATCTCTAGCCTTCCCAAGTTGCTTTCCATTCAAATCTTCTTTTCACCAAATCCTAATCCTGTGAGAGAGAGTTGAGTGTTGGGGAGACTATCATTTGAAGCACAAGGGCAAGGAGTTCATCATCAACACACCATTTGTTACTTCTTAAAGAGTGGTGTCTCCTAGATTGGTTAGGTGTCACTTGGGAGCCTCCGACAAGATTGTGGAGTTGAACCAAGGAGTTTGTAAGGGCAAGGAGATCGCCTACTTCGTGAAGATCTACCACTAGTGAGGCAAGTCCTTCGTGGGCGACGGCCATGGTGGGATAGACAAGGTTGCTTCTTCGTGCTCCCTTCTTGGGTGGAGCCCTCCGTGGACTCACGCAACCGTTAAACTTCGTGGGTTGATGTCTCCATCAACGTGGATGTACGATAGCACCACCTATCGGAACCACGGCTCAAAAATCACCGTGTCTCCAAATTGCGTTTGTTTCTCCAAACCCTTCCCTTTACATTCTTACAAGTTGCATGCTTTACTTTCCGCTGCTCATATACTCTTTGCATGCTTGCTTGAATTGTGTTACGATTGCTTGACGTGTGCTAAGTTTGCTAAATCTGCCAAAGACTAAAATTGGGAAAATGATAGATTTGTATTTGGTCAAGTAGTCTAATCACCCCCCCCCCCTCTAGACATACTTTCAATCCTACATATATGAAACTTGGGAATTGTCCACAAAATATAGTCTACTTACTTAGATAATTGGAGTGGTGCCATTTTGCACCCTGATTTTTGTACTTATTTCACAAAAAACACCCATTTTTGACACTTAGGAAATGAAAGTTATTAGTTTTGTACAAAAACGTCGGAATCTCTATTTGGCAACACTGTTTGTAACGTTAAGATGCAACTATGTGTCTAATTTGGGAACATTATAATAAACTATACAATGAATATGGCCATCACCTTGGTCATTTGAGACTATATTTTGGCATGCCAAAAAGTGTAATTAATATGGCCTAAAACTGAAAAAGTTCTCAACATGGGAGTTTTCTGTCTCGTCAAAATGAACAACTTTGATTTTTGGAACATCTTCATCTGAGGTCGTATGCAATCTCTACAACCAAAACCATGCAGTTTAGTAAAGACCCCCTTTTGCCGAGCGTGACACTCGGTAAAGACCCCCTTTTGCCGAGTGTAGCACTCATATAATTTGGATATATAGTTACTCATATAATGATCTTAGCAGTAGCGGTTTTTCTATAAGCGCGCTGCTGCTAACTTCTATAGCAGTAGCGCTGGTCAACATAGTGCGCTACTGCTATAACTAGCGGGGGGGCGAGGTCATGGCAATTATAGCAGTAGCGCGGTTTGTGGTGGACGCGCTACTGCTATTTTCCTGTCAGCAGCACGTTTTGCTAACACGCGTTGCTGCTAAATAGCAGTAGCGTGGTATTTTGGGGAGCGCTGCTGGTAAGATTCTGTGTATATGCTTTTCCCTAGTAGTGCTCTCCTTCATCGTTCCTCGTCTCTGCACTCAGGGCTTATAAACCGCCGCTAGTCCCTCTCGCTCGGTGAGGTGGGACTAATTTTGTTAGGATCCACTTAAACATAGCTATAATATTCCTCAATAGCAAAAATAATCAACTAAAGGTTCATCTCTAGTACCGGTTCGTGGCATGAACCGGTACTAAAGGTGCTGGTGGGGCCCCAGCCTGACAACAGCCTGCCACCACCTCTATAGTACCTGTTCGTGGCACGAACCGGTACTAAAGGTTAGCCACGAACCGGTACTAATGGGCGTCGCCCGCCTAGCCGTTTGAACCGGCACCAATGATCACATTAGTGTCGGTTCAGTTACAAACCGGGACTAATGTGCTTCACATTAGGCCTTTTTTTTACTAGTGATTGGAGGCATTGACACCCTTAGCCTTCACCCAGATGAGATCACATCTGCCTCCTGACGCATAATCCACCGTCGTTCCTCATGCTGCTGCTTCTTCTGGAGATCCCGTCCTATAGACCGCGTGCACAGACGTACGGGAGAGCGGGCCTCCGAAACCAAGTCCTTTGCGGTCCTGCATGGGTAGAAGGGTGATTATGTTTTTGGGGAGCGTC